TTACAAGAATCAGGGAAGGTTTACACAGCATCTGATAGAGCCAGTCTGAAAGGAACACTGAAAGGAAAATCAAAACTTGCTAAACTGTGGCCACCTCGTCTTCTTCTCGTGCTGTGTACCACCCAAGGAGTTTCAAACTCATTAGTGCAATATGCAAAAAATTTGATTACTCAGCTTGAACCTACCACTTCCCTGGAGAGCACAGAAAAACTCACAGATCACTTGGCTGGGAGACATATGTGTGGGGACTCATATTTTCAGTTTCAGACATAGTACTACTAAGTAAAAAATAAATTTAAGATAATCTGAACTGCAAAAAGGAGGGATGAAGGAGTTATTTAAGTAGGAAAACAGGCAGGAAGAGTAATACAATAATTCAGRTAGATTTTCCTCCTGGCACAGTTTCATTCACCTTCCTCAGACCAGATTATAGCCACACTGACGGACATTGTAGATGAGATACAGCAGTCCAGCATGGCCTGTGCCATCCTATTTGCAAAACCAGTTGCGTTCAGCACAGTACTGACAGCAACATGAAGGGACTGACCTTCCCGTCCTACTGCTGCAGCTTCCCCATGACTTGCTATCCTGCATTGCAATCCCACTTTGAAGACAATTCTATAAATCCAGGACAATTCTGGCCTCATGACGAATAAAACCTGTTTTCTATTATTTGGGGCACCTCCCAATGAGGTTGTGCAGAGACAAATAAGAGCTCCTGGGGAGGATGGAGGAATGATATTCTGCAGCTCCCAGGCCCATGAGGTTCCCCACAAAGCAAATCAATGTTTAYAGAAAGTTTCACTGGCCCCAGAGGGGCCTACGATCATAGGTGCCAGCAACTATTTTGAAAACTGAAACTGGGCACATAAATATTTACCCACAGCCCAGAGTGATGTACTGTCGCACCACATAATTGTGTGTGTGCATGGACAGACATGCTTATTGAAACTACATTTTCCTTTATGACCTGTAGATGTTTTAATCTGCTCTTTTAAAGCTACTACACRGCATTTTGCTTTTCACTTCATGGTCAAAAAGGGGCAGAGGGGGAAAGCAGTAACAAGGAACAAGTAACAGTTATCTGATCCCTGTTCCTACAATACTAAAACAAAAAATATGACAGTGGAGCTCAAAGAGATATGTCTTTTTCTGGTACACTTTTGAATGATTCTTATGTTTTCTTCCTGATTCTGGTTGCTTTCAGGAACAACATACTTCAGCACATTCACTACTGAACAGTCTCTGTGCCCCAACCTTGTAACAGTCCAGAAAGCTTCATTTGCTGCTTATCAAGCCACAAAACAATTACAGGACCAGGTTCAAACATAACAACCCATTTGCTGCTTGCTATGGTTTTTAATACTACTATATAAGCCTGTTACTACTTTAAAAAGGTTGTTACGATACAACATAAATTTACRAAGGTCTGTAAGTTGATTTCACAACTTCAGAGATTGCTTTTAATTCAAAAAATAAAATAAATAAATAAAAAGATACCCGGAGAGGGAAAGAAAATTATGGTGATGTTTCCTTAAACTCATTTCATGCCCATATCAGTATCTGCTAATTCTTACAGGTAACACTGCAATTTCAGTGGCAGATGCCGAATACATAAGTCTCTAAAAACCAGCCACTCAGTGTTTTGGTGGTTTAACTTCAGATGTTTACAACATAAAACATTWGCTCATGTTTTTCTTAGTTTACAAGTAATTACAAGGTATTTTAAAAATTATCTTCATAAAGAGACATATAAAGAATATTCCACTGTAAACATGTTTCTTTTATCAGCAAATATATTAGAAATGGATACAGAAGATACTTGGCTTCAGCAGACATGTTGCTACATCATGATCTGTGCGAAATATCAACCAGTCTCATAATGTTAAGTATAGTAGCTGAGCTCTCCAATCCCAAACATCTGAATCACAAAAGTTCCATCTTTAAATTAAAAAAAATAAATAAATAAATAAAAAGCTTTCTAAAACCCGATGAAACAAACAAACCAACTAAACAAACCTTTTCAGTCAGCATCATAGTAAAAAGATATGACAATTTACTAAAGCCGGAGGCACTTTTCTGAAATGTTTCACATAATCTCAAGGCTATTTGAAATAGCACGACTGCAAAACCGCCGTGCGATGTCCTGTCAGTAGCACCACCAATTTGTTTTTGCAAAAAGCCTTTCACGGCTATTGCAATTCAAGCAGATCTATCTGTTTGTAKGAAATCGCTCGAGTCCCAATCTGCAGGAATACAGGGGGCCAGTCATCACCAGCACCGGCACACCAAACCCCGGGTAAAACAGCCCCCAGCAGCCCGGGGGTTTCTCTGCCGTCAGCTGGCACTGATCCGCTGTCTCCCCAAGTCACCGGGACTCTTAGGCGGAGCCCGATGGCATGTGCGGATTGGCTCGGACGCCCCTCAGGACGCGGCGAGCAGTGAGCGCCGCTGGACACGGCGGAGCGCTCGGTCCGAGCCGGTTGCCACCGCCGCTCCGAGTGGGTGCTCCCCGGCTCCCGCCGAGGGACGGGGCTGGCCGAGCGCGGAGGGCAGCGGTCACAGCCCTCGCTCCCGCAGCCTCACTCGGCGGGACACGGCGGGGACAGCGGGGACACCCCGGTCGCCCCGCRCTCACCTGCGGGTCGGCGCGCTCGCGGTGCGGGTGCTGCCAGCCGCGTCCCCGCCAGTTCCCGCCGCACGCGGAGCCCAGCGGCGACAGCAGCAGGTCCCGCCACGCCGCCATGCCCCGGACCGCGATCCTTGTCCCGCGGCGGCAGCGCGGGGCGGGCGGGGCGCCGTCCTTTAGCCCGAGCTGCTCGGTGAGCTGTGTGCTATCTGCCCCCGCTATTGGCGGCGAACGCGGGCGAGCACCGGCTCTGCCTTGGCTGCGGTCCGCCCGCGCTCCGACACGCTTCCCCACCCGGGCCCAGCTGCGCTCTTCTTCCACACTGCCCAATTCTTCCTCATATCGAGAGACCTGATCACAGCTATCCCGAACCCCGCAGATGCTTTTTAACTCTGGCTTGCCTGCATCTCAGGACCCCGTCCTAATGTCCGAGTCATTTTTCAAGGTGCTGTAGCAGTAAATTCATGTTATAAGTTACAGCACTCAAGATAAAAGTACCAGGAAGGTCCAAGAGGTAATCAGCAATTCTCTTGAATCATGAAATATGAAGACTTGAATCACAGGTAGTCATTTTTGAAGGCAAAAGGTGCAAAAGGAACAATAGGAGTGTTACAGCTCATGACAACGAACACAACCAATGAATAAGAAAACAATATGCAACCAGTGTATAAATTAAACTTCATAAGTGACAAAAATTGAATATAAACCCAAAGTTTAGAAGATTTAGGTTTTTGACCTTCCTAGTCATCTTCACATACCTTCGGTGTCACTTCTTCCACACCGACAAAACTTAAAGCAGAAACCTCAACAGCCCCTCAGCAGTTACCACTGTCTCCTGCAGGACTGGAGCCCTTGAATGTCCCATGCACCACAGCCATCAAACCAAACCGAATACCTGCTACAATTATACCAGCTGTACCTAGTGTAAGCTCACTAAACAGGCWTACACCATTCTTATTTATCCTGAATTTTATTTTGTTTCCAGTGTTTTTTATTTTCTTCAACTTGACTGTCAGACCTTACTTTTCAATCAATCTCCATTTTCTCTTATGCCAAACTTACCCTCTTCCCATATTTAATACCAGACTCCAATTCTTTGAGTTCTCAGCTCTGCTCTCTCATCTGCTTCTAGCCTACTATTTGTTTTTATTTTGTTGGTTTCAGTTGTGCCACTGTATTGATTGTGAGCTCCAACRTCCATCCGCCTCTGGATTTTATCTATATTTCCCATCCACTTGCTCTTTCTAGATGTTTCTCCCATTTTCTGGTCACTCCATTTCTACTTTTCCTGCTCAGCCAAGTCTTATATTTCTCTGTGGTGCTCAGTTCTCCATCCTCCTCCTCCCTACAGGAGAAGCTTGCCTTCAGACTATGCTGTTCCGTTGCAGGAGCCTGAGCAGAGCCTCTGTGAGCACCAGGGAAAAGATAGATTACATAAAAACAATCTCAGCACCACCCCAAAACACAGAGCAGAAAAGCCTGCTTGGTCCTTGGGCATGCCTCAGGGCCCTTTGAAATACTGCCTGTCAAACTTAGCAGTGGTTTCACACCAACTATTATTTCAAAGACAGAGAAAATAATAAAAAACTGTTTCCAGCCCCTAGCCAAACATGCTTCTCTGATTCTTACATTGCTTCTATTTTGTCTTTAGATTTTATATCGCACTTCCCACATGGTAGGTCTTAAGAAAGCATTACTGTTCTAAKAACATAATGGACTTCTAGAAATACTAGCAGGTGTTGAACATCATGCTCATTCTTTAACAAGCTACACCCTTTTTAAAAAAACATTATTTTCAATTAGTTTTTCTCAAATAAGTCCTCCTGATTCATCACAGGAGACTTTGACTCAATTTTCTAGTATCAACAACATTTACAAATGAAAGCAAGAGTCTTCATCTAATAGGATGTATCAGTCACCATTACCATGCCCACTGTTCATGTGAAGCTGAACTCAGTAAGAAACTTGAAACACAAGTATCCCAGCACATGCAGGTGCGCTGGATTTACTGGGCCACAGCAACATGTATGTGTTCCACTGACTGCAAGCATTTTCCTAAATCCAAATTTCTGCCATTCTTTCTAAGTTGTGAAGAGTCATTCAGACATAAGAAATTCTGTCTTTCCTGAAATTATCTTGCTAAAGACGTAAAAATCTTCTGTGAAAAGCTGTATGAACCAACTCTTTCACTGCAAATTCCCACACCCAATTCCTCAGCACTTCACTGATATGAAAACACATGCTATGTTTTATAACAGCCACTTTAGTAGTTCAAAGTCCATCTAACTCATGTACTCACTATCCTATTTTCTCCAGAAATCAGAACWGCTGAGATGTTTCCTCCTTATCAACCTTATTTCCACAGACCTACCTTAAGATCAGTGCTATCCTTCTTGTCCATCCTTTATGCTTCTTTTTTGTTAGTCCTGTATTGCCAGTGTCTATGCTGTCACCTCAACGGCAGTGCAGACAAATCAGTTCTTGGATTTTCCACACCTCCTGCTTTTCGTGTCCTAAGCAAGTGAAATGTACACATGTCAAAGTATGGCTGCATTAATTCATGAATCACCTTGCATTCTTTTCAAAATCCAAAAATCTTGYACCAAAAAGCAATCTCAAAGGAAGACAATACACTTAAGAGAAGCCCTTACTGAAAGAGGAATGGTTTTGTTTCTGTTATTTCCACGGATGGCCGGCAAAGGCATAAACATCCAGACACCCACTCTGTTCTCTAAGATCTGTTATATTGTACCTCATAACCAGCTAGTACATTGGAATGTTTTTGGKTTTTTTTCCATCCACTGTGTTTAATCAGGCAGAATATTACTAGACATTCATTCCAACTTCRGAATGAAATAGCCCAAACTACTTTACATCTCATGTCCTAATCTGTCCCAGAGGCAACTCCCAGTTTCATTGTTTCATCATGTCCAAGCGCACTGAAGATACTGAGTTTCATAAGACTATAAACACACCTTTACCTTTGCCTTAGTGCCCTAGCAGACCTTCAAGAACTGATGATGAAGCAAAGAGAGGAGAAAGGAATGAAACTGGTAGACTGCTTCTAGATTTCTCCCCATTCCATATCATCATCAAAAAATCAGCTTGTCTTCAGKATTATTTATCCTTATCTAACAAAATTAAAGAAGTCTCACAAGTTAACCCAGCACCAAAGGCTAGCACCAGATATAGTGAACACATTTATCAGATAATGACTGTTTCAGCCTCTGCTTTAGCAAGCTGTGGAAAGATGTTGCGACAGAATGTTGTTCATTATAGCACAAAATACAAATATTTGTTTTACCATGTAGACTCTGAACAGCAACAGAACAGAATCTTCTGCTTTGTTCTTCTCCTTTAACAAACAGTGCGTAAAGACAACCTCCTGGGATGATCTTGTCATGCTTCATGGCTTATTTCACAGTCTGTGTATATGCAGTGATTGTTCCAAATCTGATCATGGCAAATCTTCCCTCCTGCTGCCCACTGCACACTGATATTAGAAACRGATCTGCCAACAAAGGGGAACATTATTTCCCTCATCCCAAATAAAATTATTTTTTGCTTAAAAGAGGACAGAACTCAGACAGGCATATAAATGCTAGTCATCTACTGGTTCACATAACAAACATACTTCAAAGGAGGCAAGAACGAGGAGTGTTTTAAATATCGAATTATGCACATATAGGATGCCTTGTCTTCTTTTTAGGCACATCAYCTAATGGTTGCAACAAGTAATTATTGAGCCATCTGAGCATGACTCAAAATCCTTCAGAACACTTCTGACATTGTATTTACATGAAGAATTATTTTAAGTCATTAGGACAGTCTGCAGAACTTATTCTATGAGAAAATTTGTTTTTACAAGTTTAGAGTTTCTAGGCTGCCAGGAATGTAGAGGGGTAGGTTTTCTAAACTTTATGGTCACAACCTCAAAATAGCCAATGATAATTCTCCTCAAATACATTCTGAAATATCCYTGTAATTAGTATAGACCCAAAGAACAAAATGTGATGGTATGGTTTAATCTTGTTACAATCACAAATAGTTTCTGTGCTTATAGTGATGGTCCCATGGAAACCAGCATACTGCCTCCTGCAGCATGACATCACAGTCCAAAATGGAGAAACAACATTTCAGATAGTGTCTCTAGATTCGGTTACTAAATTTTCTTAAGAGAAAATTAGTAGGAAAATTAGTGGAGGCATTCTAAGAGGACTTGGTGTAGGAGTGTATTCGGCAGATTTAAGGTGCAGTAACCTTCATCTCATGTGAATAAACACTTTACGGAGGTAAAGAAACACAATGTACTTTTGCACGGCAACAACCATAGATCCATAGACTCGTTTAGATTAGCAATAGCCTCTAAGATCAACCAACTATTAACCTAGCACTGCCAAATCCACCACTGAACAATGTCAATAAGTGCCACATCTGCACAGCTTTTTAAAGCCTTCAAGGGTGGTAACTCTACTGCTTCTCTGAGCAGCTTCTCTGAGAACTAGCTTGCTCTAATGCTTGGCAACCCTCACAGGGAAGAAACTTACCCTAATTTCCAATCTAAACCTCCCTGGCACAACTTGAGGCAATTTCCTCTTGTCTTGTCTTGTTACCTGGGACAAGAAAACTAGCATCCACCTCACTAAAACCTCTTTTCAGGTGATTAAAACAAACACAAGGAAGATGCAGGATCACAGGATAACTGCTTCAGCAGTTCTTACCTCAACATTCAGTGACACCTCAGATGGTATATGTACCGAAACAGTAACACCTTAAAAATTTATGAATTTCTGGGGAGCCTTAACTGACCAATAACGCAATTCCTACTTTTAAGAATAAGTAGTCTTGAAGGTTTTCTGGAACAGTCTCAGGGAACAGTGCCTCTTCTATTTGCTCTGTCATTCTCTGTATCCCTTAGGCAGTCAACAGATTTTGCAAATGTATTACTCCTAGAAGGTATGAATTCCATCTAATTTCTCAGCTTCCTGGATTGAGTAAAATGACAGGCGTATGGATTCTTCAGTGACTTTCTCCAGATGTCAGCCCAGAACTCTCAAATCATTTTAGAACAATTTTCAAAATTTGTATTTTGCTTTWCCACCTGTTTTTTTATACTAGACACAGTCTGGGGTTGATACTGGAGCTGATACTGTTCAACATCTTAGTTGGTGGCATGGACAGTGGGATCAAGAACACCCTCAGCAAGTTTCCCAATGACACCAAGCTATGTATAACAGTTGACACACTGGAGGGAASGGGTGCCATCCACAGGGACTTTGACAGGCTTGAGAGGCAAACCAATGCAAACCTCATAAAGTTCAACAAACCTAGGTGCAAGGTCCTACACTTGGCTCAGAGCAATCCCAGACACACCCACAGGCTGGGCAGAGAAGGGTTTGACAGCAGCCCTGTGAAGAAAGATGTGGGGGTGATAGCTGATGAAAAACTCAACGTGAGCTGGAGGTGTGAGCTTGCAGCCCAGCAAATGAACTCTAGGCTGCATCAAAAGTGTGGCTGGCAGATTAAAGGAGATTATGCCCTTTCATGCTGTGTTTTGACTAACAGTCCCACAATAAATAACAGAAATATACCATAATATGAACAGTCAAACTGATTAACTTGGCATTCGTTGCTCCTCCTCTAATTTCACCTTCAGGTAACTAGATTTCTAAAAGGAAAGCAAAGTAAATCTTACTTCTTTTCAAGAAATTAAGAAGCTAGTTCCTTCCCTGCAGCTATCACCCATTTCTAAAACAACATTATTCTCTTATAAACCAGTGKCTTGGTCTTTACATAATTTTTACACCAATGTTTGCTAGTTGCTATAGTGTGGTTTTAAATTACAATTTTTATTATCACAAGAATCAGCATGAGTGATATTTTAAGTAATATTCTTTAATTTCTTCCTCATATGAAAAATCTTGAGTATTTTTCTTTTCTGAGGGAAAACTGACTAGTCTAGGAGAAGAAATGAATCTAGTTCCATCCTTAGGAATATCACATCAAGGAGGCGTGACTGATTATTCTTTTCATACTGTATTTCACAGTCTACTTTAGAATTATTTTTAGGAGTTAGATTTCAATAATTAAAAGCTGTCTTCGGTGTCTCTGTATTTGCACATTACAYAGTTGGAAATACAAAGGTTTGTCTGAAGTAGATTTGTCTTTTARATCACAGGTTTCTCCAATTTCATTAAGGTAAATTAGAAAAACTATTATGGYACACACAGATGCAACCTTCTCTGATTATTTGATTTTTAAAAAATTGTAGTTTCCAACTGACAGTCATGAAACCAACGGATTTTGGTACCTTTATGCCAAAGTAGTTCTTATACAATAATTATACAATCAGAAACAAAATTAGGTTATTTTTTAATTCCAGGACTTAAAAGAAACTGAAAGCAATTTTTGTACTCTACAAATTGAAGCTTCAAAGGGAACTATCCAGAATGTAGTATCAGGCTTCAGAGACAGGCATTCGACACTTTGCATAGATCCAACAGAATTGTGGATCTGTGTTTCAATTTCGATAGAAGAGCATCTGCTTACTATTCAAAAGAAGGATGTTACTAAATTCACCTGTGCAAGAGAAAAATGAAAGGCTCATTTCCATTCATAACTCTGCATTAAAGGCTTTTCTCCAGCTTAAACGTCACTGCAGACAGTACAATGCTATTYTGTTTAATTTTCTCAACCTCATACTTGGTAAATCACTTAGTTCACTATATTCCAATCCAAACATGAACTGCAAGTATCATATACGAAAGGTGGAAAAACATTTTAATGCTCAGCCAGTCCATATTCCTTCTTTCAAAAGTTCATTATTGTTAAAGAAGACAAAAGAAATGCAGGAAAACAATCACTCACCATAATATTTTTAAAAAGAAGCGAAAGTTGTAAACAAGTGTTTACTTTGCCTGCATTGTGCTTTCACATTTTACCCCTGGGAATGGTAACATATCACTATTAAAAAAATTATTTTTTCTTCAGTAGTTGGAAAAGTTATTATCTGTATGGCTTTAAGCGAAGAAAGAACAGTGACTTTTTAAGTCTTTAGAAATTACCAAGAAGTCATGTTTTTTTCCACCAAGAACATTCAAAATATAAAACAACTATTGAGTTTACTTCCAAATACAATATATACTGCAATATATATTGTTAAAATGTACATCAAGATCTAATTAATATAAAAATCAGGAAGTAGGACTCTTAATAAGGAAACAGGAAAACACCTCTCTTCTTGAATTTTCCTCATACACCTCAAATATAGTTACCTACATACAAACATTTAAATACTAATTAATGAGTTAGTTTCTTACAAATTAGCACTTACCTGTTTCTTCCTCGTATTACCCTCGTACTTTTTAAGTAGCCTCCAGCCACTGATTGAGGTTTCTCTCCAACACACAATCCAGTAGTTTGTTCTCCAGTTCTAACTAAAGGAAACAGTGATATGAAGCAGTGACAACAAAATCCCATGTATTAAATTGATAATTAGGTTGGGTTGCTTGCTTTTGGTTTGTTTCTTCTTTGAGGGATGGGGGGATTCGGAGAGTATTAGAGATGAATCAGAATTCCTTRACACAACCTTTTCACTCTAGTTATGCTGAAAACCTTGTGTCACCTTATGATCGGGAACTTGTGACTTGAGCTGCCCTTATTTATGCGTCACAGTAAGGAAATGATTAGCATTCATGATGTCACTGCTTGAATTTTCAGTAGCAGTCCGGAATAAAAGCATACCCACAACATTTTCCAGATTCACCATGACTTACTGTGTRTGTGTATTGCCACCTAGAGTGTCAAAGTTATAATGTAGGCATGGGAGTAATAGCCCAGGTATACCAGTTATTATGAAATGTTTCTTTGAGCCAAAGTGTTGCTGTAGAAAGCAGTGAGTCTGCAGTCTAACCCCTCTTACCACAGTCATCAGATGCTTCCACAAAATACAGGAATTTCCCCAAATGAATCTACTGTTTTGGTTAGAACATGCTGACAAATGCTGGACATTATCCAGCATTATCTTTGGTTTCACCTGGTAAAATACACATTTGCACTTATATCTTCTACACAAAGGACCTTTAGATTTTCCAAGCACCTATATACGTGTGCTTTTCAAACATCCCTGGCCAACAGGAAAAAATATCAACAAGTAACTGTCGAAACAGTAAAAACCCTTAAGCTTGTGACACTGAATTTTCCTTTTAGAGAGAAATATTTTAGGGAATAGCTAACTAGACAAAATACAGKTTTTTTTCCTCTGAAAAGTAAAACCGTATCCAATTAAAATCATCAGTCAATATGTAGCTACTAAGTCCTGCTACATCAGGACTTGTGATGACATTTTAAAAGAACATTTTCGTCTCACTGGATATTAATGCATATGCAAATTAAATAATGCAAATTAAAACATCTTAAGCTTACATATATATATATAYGTTTATATACAGATTCTGAATGAAAGGTCTCTAGAGAAATGCAGTCAAAAGCCAAGACCAGCAATTCGGCAGTTCACTGTTACAGAGACACCAGACACTAAGAAATGCAATTTCTTCTCATACCTTTTGCCAGCTCTAATGTGAAGTTTATGTAACCTATTATTAATCTCCCCACCTGGCCCAGCTTTTGTATAACCCAGATCCTCAAGAGTAATTTCAAGTAGTTTTCCAATCCTTTTAAATTCACCTCTATTTGCAAGGAGATGAATGGAAAAAACAAATCAGCTCAGGAAATGCTCTAAAAGTAGCCATAAAATTCCAGCCCATAACAGAGTCCACAACTGGAACAAACTAAGAGGAAAGTGCTTGCCTACAGCACAATTTCAAATGAAGTAAACATATGGTTTACATCATACTGCAAGCTTAATTTGTTTTAAAGGGCTTATTTATCTTGTTAGGGGATATATCAAACATGTATTTCAAAGACAATAATAAAACATCTCCTGTTCCATGAATATAGTGGAATGACAGATTTTAACAGTAAAATGCACTCTATTGCTAGGACATATCTACTTTGTGTGAAACACCAAGATTTTAAATGAGGAAAGCATGTTGCAAAGATACTAGCTAAYAATGCAAAACACTGGATCCCAAGAACACTGGATGGTATGAAGTATTMTAAAACTCACAAATACAGGAACGCATGTATTATCCAGGGTTAAAAACCCCTAGATCATATAACCAATCAAAACACCACAACAAATTAACAGATCTATTTTTTACCCTAATTTATTTGGGTTATAGTAAACATGAAATAGCAGTTTTATGGTCTTCTTGCCAGAAAAGGAGTTCATTGTTAAAAAAAATTCCAAGTACCTCCTCAGACAAGTTGATGTATTTGGACTTAAACAAAAATGTCAAAAATGTCCAAGAAAAATGCCTATCTTCCAAATACATATCCAGATCTGACAGAAGGTAGGATACCCAAACAAGCACATGATTTGCTTGAGTCACTAAGCCACCTCCTTTCTTCAGTAAGTATTCAGAGATCTTAACAAGCTAAATGAATAAGTAACCAATACTTATGAAGCAAAAATACYAGAAAAAGTTTCCAAACATTTACCAAAAAAGCTGAAAAGCTATTTTAAGCAAAAAGACCTAATAAATCAAGTTATAGAAGCAACAATCTTATGAAATAAAGTCCAGATCTTCACACAGTAATAATGCCAAAATTTTCAGATACACACAGGTGAAACTTTATTGTCCTTTAGCAAACACATTGTTAGAAAAAAAATAAAATTCAAAAGTTGCCTTTTTCCATAATGGTCACAGAAAAAATACAATGTTATCTATCCTTATGACAAATCATATTTGCAAAATGTAACAGTCTTCCCATACAACCTCAAACTATTATTAAAGACACATATTTCTAATTGTCCTTCAAATTGTAAATAAATTGCAAATCACAAACATTAAGTTCATACTTCACAGCAAAAGAACATTATTTGAATGAACTTCTGAAAAAACTTTCTGCAAGATTCACAGTCTGCAAAAACTACACCTCATTCAGTAAAGTTTGAAAAAGTGTGTGTAGTCATTTTATATTGCACTACCTTTCCTTGACACATCTGCCCAAACCTGTCATTTAGATGATACCAACTGGTTCACAGCAAACGTCACAAAGACTAAGAATAGCAGTAACTTTAGAATGAACCATTCTACTGGGTGCCCACTGCTGTGCACAATGTGAAAAAGAAAAGGCGAAAAACCTTTTTCACCATGAGAATGTGAAAACCTTTCAGAACAGTGGCAGGTATCAGAATAAAGTATCCCCTTTTTGTTCCCCTTTTCTGCCACACCTGGCTTTTGGTTTGCATAGAAAAGGGAATGTTTTGTCTCATTTTGATAGACTCTTATTTTTTGGTTTAGCTATTATACAGAAAAAAAAACATTAAAAATCACTACAGTTTGTGTGCTTTATGATAAATTCACATGTTTAATATTTGACTTTCAGGTACCATTCTTTTTTTTTTTTTTTTTTTATGAAAAAAAAAATTTTTTTTTTTTTTTTTTGTTCAGGGCAGACAAATTGATGTTCCATTTCCTTACAACATATAATATATCCACCTGATTCTTTTAACCGCACCCCAGAGTTCTAATTATCTGCATTCTTCTTTTAGTCTGCCTCCATGTTTTCAGGTATTCTTGTTAAACATCACACAGCCTCCTCCGTACTGCACGCGTTCAGACAGCTTACTAGTAAGCACCCAAAACTGATTTTCCCATCTACTTAGGCAACTCAGATTTGCTTTTAAAGACTGCCACAACAGCTTCTCCAAGATGGCATAAGCATGCTTATTCACCTACAGAACAAAACCTGAATCCCAATGGAAACAAGTTTCCTGGGAACAGATGCACCACCGCTATGAAACAATGATCAGGTTTCCATTTCGGTCTCTGTAGTATCAGTCCTTGCAGCAGTTTTAGCRTCCGATGAAGTATCTTCATCTGGGTTCTGAATATCAGACAAATCAATAGCAGGCAGTGGTGCTCTCCAGTACAGGAATGAATTATACTGACAGAATTCTTCTTCTTGCTTTGAAAAGATATGAATAAACAAAAAGTTAACATGACATCAATGTGTATCTCAGCAACAGAATATTATAAATAAAATAAAATAAAAATATAAATAAAAAACTTTCTAGATGAGAAACTCAAACAAGGAAGTTAYTCAGCTGTAACATATTAAAAATTATTTTAATTTTACAATTTTTAACTAGATCATAATTTACTTTTGCCTTTTTTTAATATTCTTGCAAAGAATTATGTAGCAACCTCAGGGATATTATTCCATAATTCCATCAATTTCTTCAAATTACAACTTTTGCACAGAAAAAGTGTAAAACTTGTGTAATTATTGGACTTTGTATACAAAAACTGGTCACCGGTTTTTATTCTCATAGCAGTATAGAAACTTCATACACATTTAGAAACTGGTATTCAGAAGAATGTATTTAGCTACTTTACATCAACTAAGAGGGATGGTATTTGCAGGATAAATAAAGCATTTTGTAGTGTTTAAACCATATTCTGCTTCCTCTTTTCTGTATCCAAATCTTGTATTCAGGAGAGGAAACCTTAAGAATCACAGAATATTCTGAGTTGGAAGGGACCCACAAGGATCCTTAAGTCAAACTCTTACGTGAATGGCCCATATGGGGATCAAACCCACAACCCTGTCATGAGCACCATGCTCCAATCAACTGAGCTAACTGGACAGTATCACAAAGAAACTTGGAGAAACATGTACTCATCTACTCACATCACAATTTTGTCAAATTTTTTTTGTCTATGAGAAAGCATACTGCCTGTTTAGAACCATGTCACAATTATGAACAGTGGCCAATCTGTGTTTGTGTGCTTGTTTCTATGGACACAATACACTTAGGAAGAGGAATTCTCAAGTCATTCCTTAGGCCCTGAGCATGTGTTTTCTTGTGGTACGTAAGAACAGGGAATGCTGCCACAAACATAAAATAACAATGGTTATTCATTTCTAAATAATAGTCTGAGAGTACATAAACACATACTCTTAATTTTCAGTTCAGACTACATGCATAATTCGTCTCAAAGATCTCAAGTCTACAGATCAGCAATATTTCAGTATATTGGTAGCTCCAAGATTCAGTGTGAAAATGAAAAACTAACATCAAGTACAAAAGACAGGCACAAACACTAAACATTCACACCTAAAATGGAAAATAAAATGCCAAATATTCACCTTCACCAAGTATGCTTCAACACAGGTTTCAAGTAGAAGTTCTATTAAGGTAGGCAACACATAGCAAGCACAGAGACACAAAACCTCAGTTTCTATAGAGTAAGTTCCTTAATATTAAAGGAGTTAGTTTTCCAACTCTAGCTGTAAAAGTGTGCTTGTAAATTAAACTAATATAATATTTCTTCTCTGGCTAACTGTAATATAATGATTTAAACTTGAACAAAACTACTGTGAAATTAACAATATCTCAATCGTACTTATAATGTAAGGAAATACACAAGACACAAATRGCAAAGAATAATACCAACCTAAGTGCTGCATTTTGAGAAAGATATAAAAACCAACATCAGAAATATCATTATAAAAAAATTTAAATATATTGATAGAAAACACAAAAACTGGAAGAAATGCCTCTAGTCCGAGGTGTTAAGCAAACTTTATTTTAAAATCAAAACACTTTTTACACCAAACTGTACTYAGAGAAACACCCCATCAAAAATACACTCTTAGAAAAGTATATTATATAGAGAACTAATCTTTACTGTGTGGAAATTCAAGGGACTTGTGGTCTTTCTATMACTGCTAAAGCTTACAAAATTATGCCAAATAACATCAGGAGTAAGTAAAAAAATTCAGCATTATACTTGTGATGGGAGTTAAACTGTTCTGTAGAGGTTTGTTCAATTTAATTACTATGCTTATGAACACACGTGTTCTCTCTTCAAAAAGGAGAGGCTTGTGTTTAAAATGACTGTAAAATATTCATAAGACATAGAATTTTTTCCTGAATTTCTTTTTGCCTTAATTTTACCAGCCATCATCCATTAAACCCATTAACCAATCAACCATGAAAACACAAAAAAGCAGAGCTTGAAAGAGTCACTATTTTCTTTACAGATAACAGATGGGTGTTATACTATAAAAGGCCTCAAGTTCTCAAAATCAAGTCTTCAATTGCAGTTCGAAGCCCCTCTAACCTGATCAGACTTTCTCCCACTTCCGTATCACTGAATCTAACACTGGTCTTATTCAAAAGGTCCAAGGCRGAGGAAAAGCAAGTTGTGACATGCACCAAACTTCTAGATAGGTGGGAAATTTGATCTACACTTTTTCTGGTTGTTGTTTTCTTTTCTAGTGGTTCTCTTTTTGCTTTGTTGGGAGTTGGGGKTTTTTTTTGTTTGTTTGTTTGTGTCTTATTTTTCTGTTGTTGTTGTTATTAAAATTTTCTTAGTACCAAATTTTGTTTTCTGAACTACWATGCAAAATGTAGTCATGGTCAGGAACAAGAACGTATTATGTTCAAAATTAACCAGAAAAGTTGTTTCAACATACTCTGATCATTTCAACACTGACACCCTTACTTTGACCACCGCCTCCGCTAAATGTTTTCGTTAAAAATCTGGCATTACTATTAAATGTCAAAACACGAAGCTCAGGATGCTGCCGCTGTATTGAGCCTACCCTCACCCACACACAACAGAGGCGCCACCAGCATCACCWCTGCAAGCTTCCACCGCGCTGCTGGGTAGGGATAAAACTGAGCAGCCTCAGTAAGGTGGACACGCGGCTCCCCATCCATTTCACGGCGCACAGCGCGGGAGTGAACGGAAAAAAGCTGGATGTTACTTCTCTTGCTTCGAAGAAGACAAAAGGAAAAGGAGCTTTAAGAGTSCCGCGGACAGAATGCGCAGATGGGGTTGGGCGGCACAGATCGCAGCGTCGTGCCCGCCGAAAGCCCGCCAGCACCCCCGGCGGACGCCCACATCCTGCAGACACGCTCCAGCCGCTAGCGGCACCGCCCCGCACTTCCCTCCCCGGAGACGAGCGACCCGGGCCCGTCCACTTACCTCGGCGGCGGCGACGGCCCGCTCTTTGACCCGGCCGCCGGCGCATCCCTCTTCCACCGGCGCGTCCTGGGGCTCCGCGCTCCCGCCGCGCCGCCGCCGCCCGGCACCCTCGTCCCCCGGCTGCTCGCGGGGGGCGCCGGGCCCGGGCCGCTTCCTGGGCGGCGCCTCCGCCTCCTCGAGCGGGCGCTTGGGCGCGGCGGGGCCCTCACGCCCCGGCTCTGCCCGGGAACGGCGCTCGCCCGCGCGGGACAGCGGCGGCTCGCGCAGGAGCCGCTTCACGGGCACGTGACACATTAAGGGCTCCGCGCGCCGCTTGGCCATGAGGGGCCGCGCGCCGGCGGCTCGGCACAGCTCCTCTCGTCCGCCGGCGCATGCGCGATCGACACGCGCTGCAGAGCGCATGCGCGCCGCGCTCAGCACCCCTGAGGGGGCGGGGCCATCGCCGCG